AGAACTGTTAGATCTTATTGCAAAAAGGATCCACGAATATAGTATTACTCCCCAAAAATGAGTAATTACTAATATCTCAGTCAGGAATATTGCCAGAAAAATCTCCGTTCAAGATGGAGATAAACAAGCAATGATCAACAACTATCTAGACGAAGTCACAAAGACAACGTCAATAACAATAGTATCGAATCTGACTATACCACCATCTCAGAACCAAAGCAAGAAATCATATATAAATTTATTTATATTACAAGATATAGGATCTCTGAAGACTGTCGGTAATCTGAGCGGTTATCTTCTATCTAGTTTAGTATCCGAACTCAAAGAAGAAATCCGAATAAAAATATATACAAATTTTTATATAGTTTGATGATTGTATGGAAGGATCTTATCCTTTACCCGAGCAAGGGGCCTGTCAAGATTTAATGCAAATTGCTATTGAGCCCATGTGTCTAGCAGTTCTAACCGGGAATAGGCACCCTTTTTTTCTCCTCAACGGGCTTAGAACCACGACTGGCTAGAAGAAGTCACAAAGACAAAGCCAATAACAATAGTATCGAATCTGACTGTGCCACCATCTTAGAACTAAATCAAGAAACTATATATAAATTTATTTAGATTTTGATAAAGTCTAGATCTTTCATGTTAGATATAAAAGCGAAGTTAGTTATCCGACATAGATATGAATCTTTAGCCAGACATAGCCAAAGATCAATCAACTTTGCATCAAAATTTCATGAGGTTATCATTGATAGGACTCAATTGCAAAGATTTTAGGAAGTTTAAATTACATATCCCCTTTTCATAAAAAAAATATCTCGTGATTTGGCCCCTTTATACGACAGGCCGAAAAAGGATCATAAATCACCTTGGACTGATAGTCATACCATACTGGTAAAGGATATCAAACTTTGTATTCAATCTTTACCATGCTTAACTCTTGCTAACCCTGCTTGACAAAAAATTATTAAGACAGATGCGTCTAATATTGGTTATGGTGGGATATTAAAACAAATTAATCCCAATGACAAAAATGAATATTTGATCTGATTTTATTCTGGGAAATGGAGCGAGGCCCAGAAGAAATATGCTACGGTGGCTCATGAAATGTTAACTATCGTTAAATGCGTGTTAAAATTTCAGGATGATTTATATTATCAAAAGTTTTTAATAAAAACTGATGCTCAATTTGTTAAGTATATTTTTAACAAGGATTTTAAACATGATGCATCAAAATTACTATTTGCTAGGTGGCAGAGCTAGTTAGCTCCTTTTAATTTTGAGATCCAATATAAAAAGGAAAGTGATAACTCTCTTCCGAATTTTCTATCTAGGGAATATTTAAATTCATAATGAGTTTTTATACAACCTTCATTGATGAGAAAACTTTATTTACTATTTTAAAAATAATTCCTCTTAATAAAGATTTGAAGGGATTAATTTTATGAGAAATTATCAACGATATTATTAGAGAAGATTTCTCGATACATGATTATGAAGAAATTGTCGATATCAATCAGGATAATTGTTACAGTGATTATTATGATATATCCGAATAAAGCAAAGTGTATGTTTGCAGGATGGAACCTCTTTGGGTAACCAAGGGCAGAGGTAGGGGAAATAATACAGAAGGAAGGGGAAGATCATCCCCAAGATCATATGGATCCTCTTCTAACACCCTCCTAAGGTTCTATAGCGTAGACCATTTAATAGGGTACGAACAGTCTCATACTGATTGGTAAATCTACCATTAAAATGTTTTAAAATGGTTAAAATGTTTTAAAATGGTTAAGACTAAAGTATAAACAACGTCTTCTCTATTTTTCACTAGAGCCATGCCCAAGCTATCAACACCTTTGTTATCAGCAATAGCATTTATCATCACTGGTTTTTGCTCAATACTCATATAATTATCCCACCAACCTCTGAGTTGGCAAGTAAAACCTGCAATAATCATTTTGCCAATATTTCTATCTATATTTTTAACACTTTTACAGATAGTTGCATACATAAGCATTCTATCAACAATAATAGTCAATGATCTATCAGTCAAACGATCAAGATTCCATTCATAAATTTCAGACCTACTATAAGAGGTATTAGTGTATCAGTCTCGTTCCTCTATTAACACATCTTGATGAGTTGGTCTGGAATAATAATAGATATGCATGTTAGGTTTATGGGCATACTTAGTATTACTATTCTTTTTGGGATAACTATGAAGTTTATTAAATTCTAAAGAAACATGATTTTTAAAATCAAAAGTTTCCAATTTCATTAGCAAAATTGTTTGACAAATCAATAAGCTTTGCACCAAATTCAGAAAACTTTTATCAAGAAGTTCTTCTAAATCACATAACGATTTAAATTTAAAATTCCGAATCTTAGGGGGTCTTTGCACATGAGTAGAAATAATCTAAGCTTCTGAATTACCTTTATAAGTAGAAGCCGTATCAGAAGTCTTTAAATCATTTTTTATTTGAATTATCAAAGTAGTTAATTCATCCAATTTTTTATCAAGAGAACTAATATGTTCACCCAAAACTTTAACGTAAAGTCTCAAATAATTATTTTGGGAAATTAAATTATTTATTTCATTGATGCTGACTGCCGCAACATCTTCTTCAACAAATTTTTGAAAGGCAATAAAAGTGATACTTGTATTATTTGGTAAAATAAAAGATGACAGAGGTGGATAAACAACCTTAATAATATTACCAGATCTATCTTTATAAGATCGTTCAAGAATGTTGATGAATAAAGGTAAATACGTGGTTATAAACCAGGGTACAAAATACATAATTTGATTATGTAGAGCACAGTTTCATAAAATTCTTGAGAAATATTATTCAAGTCATTAGCACTACAAGTGTAAAAAAATCATGATTTAAAGTGGTTCCACTTATCACTTGAAAATTCATTCTGAATGTACTTTCTTGCCAGTGAACCTGGACTAAAATCTATTTGGTGTACATTCATCATTATGTATTATTAGGATCAAAATCCATTTCGGATACAAAAGAAATATCCTTATTAGAAATATCAGAAGAATTATCATTAGCTTGAACAATATTCAAATGAGGATCAATTTTTATTTTATTAACAAGTTTATTTTGATCAGCAGATATAATAGAAGGTATGGTATGTAAATAAGCAGCACGATTACGAGCCGAACCATACAGTGGTTTAATAGGGGAAATATGATGAATAACAAGCAATCTTCTATCAGAAAAAGAATGTCTTGTATAAGGAATATCATTAAACTACATGCAAATCCTACCATCAGGATTTTGTGTAATATGAGAATACTCAGAATTAGTGACAACATTTGTAATTTGACTAGGGGATATAACATAATCCAAAGTCCAAGTTGTTGGAAAATTAATATCTTTCCATTTTATAGGTCTTCTAGTAGTGACCTTAGATTTAACAAAATTAGTTTTTACTAAAATAGTCTGATCAGATGTATCATATTACTTACATCTCGAGTTTCACATAGATAGTAATTTAAAATAAATTCTATAAGATAAACAAATTAATTCAGATCCAGGTGCATAATTATAACCATGCGTTTAACATTTATAGTTAAAGATAATTGCAAATTAGGCTGAGTATTAAAATATACCGGGCCATAAGCCACATTGGACTCAATCGAACCCATCCAAGATTGTCTAAAATTTAAATTTCTCGCATCATGAAGAGCAGCTAAAAATGTCTCAGGAAACCCTTTAAGAGTTAACGGTTTAAAAGCAATTTCAACCACGCCAATATGCAAGAAATTAAACTGTTTTTTATACAACTCAATATCTCATTTATTTAATAAACGAATAGTCTGTTTAGACGAATTTAACGCCAAAGATTGCTCAGTAGTTTTTATCAATTGTTTATGAGATATTTTATCAAACCAACCATAATCATAAATAGTTTTAATATCAATTTTTGGAATAGTCCATTTGTTTAACAAATCAAGGTTTTGTGGTATATCTACCTCTTCCAATCTAGTACTTTTAGTACTCACTTCTCTTAGATCCATATTCAAAAGTACATATCTATGTCGTATACTTCACATCAATCCCATATTTACCATAAAAGTTCCTAGGCTCATACAGGATCTCTGAAGACTGTCAGTAATTCGAGCGGTCATCTTCAATCTAGTTTAGCATCCGAACTCAAAGAATAAATCCGAATCGAAATATATACAATTTTTTATATAGTTTAATGATTATATGGAAGGATCTTATCCTTTACCCGAGTAAGACGCCTGTCAAGATTTAATACATATTGTTATTGAGCCCATGTGTCTAGTAGTTCTAACTGAGTATACGCGCCCTTTTTTTGCTCCTCAACGGGCTTAGAACCACGGCTGGCTAGACGAGGTCACAAAGACAAAGCCAATAACAATAGTATCGAATCTGACTGTACCACTATCTCAGAACCAAATCAAGAAACCATATATAAATTTATTTATATTTTGATAAAGTCTAGATCTTTCATGGTAGATATAAAAGCGAAGTTAGTTATCCGATATAGATATGAATCTTTAGCCAGATATAGTCACGACTCAGATAGAAGAAATACTAAAAGATGTAATAAAAAATGATATAATACCTTATAGCGATGGCCGACTCCAAGGCCTATCAGAAAACTATACAAGTTTTATTTACTTTTGGTCAGTATCTGGTGAACTCAAACTTTACAAATTGAGAGCTTTATAATTGTAGAGAGAGAAAAAGTCAAGAGAAGTCTGCTTCTCAACATCACTCAATACGAGAAATTGGACACTTGTATGAGAAGTGAAACAAGCAAAGACACTACAGATGATATCCAAGACGCTCAACCTGTTGAAGCAACTATGTCAGAAGATACTCTGAAAAAGGAGGAGGATTTCCTCCAAAAATTAAAGGAAAAAGACAAACTCTAAGGACATCTCTATAGTAAAAAGCCATCATCAACAGTAGATTCACTGTTGATCAATAGTAGATGCAATGTTTAGGGGAAAGATGGGACCTAACAATACTGTAGATCAAGATACAGGATCTCTGAAGACTGTCGGTAATTTGAGCGGTCATCTTCAATCTAGTTTAGCATCCGAACTCAAAGAATAAATCCGTATCAAAATATATATAAATTTTTATATAGTTTGATGATTGTATGAAAGGATCTTATCCTTTACCCGAGCAAGGGGCCTGTCAAGATTTAATACATATTGTTATTGAGCCCATGTGTCTAGTAGTTCTAATCGGGTATGGGCGCCCTTTTTTCTCCTCAACGGGCTTAAAACAACGGCTGGCTAGACGAAGTCACAAAGACAAAACCAATAACAATAGTATCAAATCTAACTGTATCACCATCTCAGAACCAAATCAAGAAACCATGTATAAATTTATTTATATTTTGATAAAGTCTAGATCTTTCATGGTAGATATAAAAGTGAAGTTAACAAGTATATTTTTAGAAATGATGCAAATTGTTACTACTCATAAATGGTATGTTAAATGCACCATATTGATAATAGTTTTTGAATAACTGATATTGCCATGATTGATAGTGGAGCTGATGTTAGTTGTATTCAAGAATGTCTTGTACCTACTAAATATTTTGAAAAAACAACTCATATGGTTAAATCTGCTTTTGGACATGCTTTAGATATAAAGTATAGATTGCCTAATACTCACATTTGCCAAAATAAAGTTTCCATTCTGCATTTCTTTTTCTTGGTTAAAAATCAGTTATACCCTCCAATTATACTTGGAACCCCTTTTATAAATGCTATTTATCCTTTTACTAGCATAAATGCTAAATGTTTTACTGCTACTTATGAACAGAGATATAAGTTATACTTTTATCACTGACCCTATTTCTCGTGATATTAATGCTTTGATTAATATGAAACAAAGGCATGTTGACTCTTTGCAACTAGAATAATTTATCATAAATATATTTGATACTTTGAAATTCACCAAAGTACAGGAAAAACTAAAATTAATTTCTGAACAAATTGCAGTTGATATTTGAGCTGGTACTATGTCCGGCTAAAGATTCATATCTATTTCAGATAACTAACATCTCTTTTATATATTTCTTGAAATATCTAGACTTTATCAACATATAAATAAATTTATATATGATTTCTTGACTTGGTTCTGAGATGGTGGTACAGTCAGATTCGATACTATTTTTATTGGCTTTGTCTTTGTGACTTCGTCTAGCCAACCGTGGTTCTAAGCCCATTAAGGAGTTGAAAAGGGTTTCTATACTCGCTTAGTACTGCTAGACATATAGGATCAGTAAAAATATGTATAAAATCTTAACAGACCCCTTGCTCGGGTAAAATGATAGATCCTTCCATACATTCATCAAACTATATTAAAATTTGTATATAATTTCGATTCAAATTTTTTTCTCGAGTTCGGATGCAAAACTATATTGAAAATGACCGCTCGGATTACAGACAGTCTTCAGAGATCTTGTAACTTGGTATGATTATTGCAGGTTTTACTGGCCAACTCAGAGGTTGGTGGGATAATTATATGAGTATTGAGAAACAACCAGCGGTGATAAATGCTATTGCTGATAATAAAGGTGTTGATAACTTGGGCATGTCTCTACTAAAAAATAGAGAAGAAGCTGTTTATACTTTAGTCTTAACCATTTTAGAACATTTTAATGGTAGACTTACTAATCAGTATGAGACTGTTCGTACCCTGTTAAATGGTCTACGCTGTAGAACCTTAGGAGAATTTAGATCGTATAAAGATACTTATATGAGTAGGGTGATGGAATTTTCCGTAAACAATTATGAGCATTGGAAAGCTAAGTTTATAGATGGCCTTCCCCCTTTGTTTGCCGAAAGAGTTAGAAAAACTCTGAGGAATGATCGTGGTGAAATTCCTTATAAGGATTATACTTATGGTAAGCATATATAATAGCAGGTATGGTATGTAAAGAAGCAGCACGATTACGAGCCGGATTATACATTTGTTCAATAGGGGAAATATGATGAATATCAGGCAATCTTCTATGAGAAAAAGAATGTCTCTTATAAGGACTATCATTAAACTGTATGGGAAGAAATTAATTTTCCAACTACTTGGACTTTGGATTCTGTTATATTCCCTAGTCAAATTACAAATGTTGTCACTAATTCTGAGTATTCTCATATTACACAAAACCTTGATGGTAGGATTTGCATGCAGTTTAATGATATTCCTTATAGTAGACATTCATTTTCTAATAGAAAATTGCCTGCTATTCATCATATTTCCCCATTGAACTAGTGTATGGTCCGGCTCATAATCGTGATGCTTCTTTACATACCATACCTTATATTATATCTGCTGATTAAAATAAACTTGTTAATAAAATAAAAATTGATCCTCGTTTGAATATTGTTCAAGCTAATGATAATTCTTCTAATATTTCTAATAAGGATATTCCTTCTGTATCCGAAATGGATTTTGATCCTAATAAAACTTAATGATGAATGTATACCAAATAGATTTTAGTCCAGGTTCACTGGCAAGAAAGTACATTCAGAATGAATTTTCAAATTATAAATGGAACCAGTTTAAAACATGGTTTTTTTACACTTATAGTGCTAATGATTTGAATAATATTTCTCAAGAATTTTATGAAATTTGTGCTCTACATAATTAAATTATGTATTTGATACCTTGCTTTATAACCACTTATTTACCTTTATTCATCAACATTCTTGAACGATCTTATAAAGATGGATCTGGTAATATTATTAAGGTTGTTTATCCACTTTGGTTATCCTTTATTTTACCAAATAATACAGGTATCACCTTTACGGCCTTTCAAAAATTTGTTGAAGAAGATGTTGCGGCAATCAGCATCAATGAAATAAAAATTTAATTTATCAAAATAATTATTTGGGACTTTATGTTAAATTTTTGGGTGAGCATATTAGTTCTCTTGATAAAAAATTGGATGAATTAACTTCTTTGATAATTCAATTAAAAAATAATTTAAAGACTTCTGATACGTCTTCTACTTCTTAAGGTAATTCAGAAGCTCAGATTATTTGTACTCATGTGCAAAGGCCCCCTAAGATTCGGGATTTTTAATTTAAATCGTTATATGATTTAGAAGAACTTCTTGATAAAAAGTTGTCTGAATTTGGTGCAAAGTCTATTGATTTGTAAAACAATTTTGCTGATGAAATGGAAATTTATTTTGATTCTAAAAATATTCATGTTTCTTTAGTATTTTATAAACTTCATGGTTATCCCAAAAAGAATAGTAATACTAAGTATTCTGATAAACCTAGCATACATACCTACTATTATTCCAAACCAACTCCTCAAGATGTGTTAATAGAGGAATGAGACTGGAATCAGACTAATACTTCTTATAGTGGGTCTGAAATTTATGAATGGAATCTTGATGATTTAACTAATAAACTGTTGACTATTCTTGTTCATAGAATGCTTATGCATGTAACTATATGTAAAAGTGTTAAAAATATAGATAGAAATATTTGCCAAATGATTATTACAGGTTTTATTGGACAACTAAGAGGTTAGTAGGATAATTATATGAGTATTGAGCAAAAAGCAGCGGTGATAAATGCTATTGCTGATAACGAAGGTGTTGATAACTTGGGCATGCTCTAATGAAATATAGAGAAGACGCTGTTTATACTTTAGTCTTAATCATTTTAGAACATTTTAATGGTAGATTTACCAATCAGTATGAGACTGTTGGTACCCTGTTAAATGGTCTACGCTGTAGAACTTTAGGAGAATTTAGATGGTATAAAGATACTTATATGAGTAGGGTGATGGAATTGCCCGAAAATAGTTATGAACATTGGAAAGCTAAGTTTATAGATGGCCTTCCCCCTTTGTTTGCCGAAATAGTTAGAAAAACTCTGAGGAATGATCATGGTGAATTTCCTTAGAAGGATTATATTTATGGTAAGCTGATAGGAGTATGCACTCAAGAAGGTATAAATTTGTGCAATGAATTGAAGTTATCTAGACAAATTAAGATGGATAAGCTTAAAGAAAGATCTCAGCTAGGAGACTTTTGTACCCAGTACGGTTTACCTGATACTTCTGCTAATAGCAAGAAGAAGAAACATAGAGATTCTAGATACTCCAATCCTGATAAACCTTACAAGAAAAAGAGGTCTAGATATAGATCTAAGGAAGAACGCAACGCTTGAAAAGCCTTTCGTAAGTTTAATAGATTTACCAAGAATAGGTCCAAGCGAGATCTCGCTAAAATCAAGTGCTAAAGATGTGGAATTTTCAGTCAAATAGCACCGAATTGTAAGCTTGAAAAGTTGAAATCCCTAGAACTTGATGATGAAGTTCATGATAAGGTTTATAGTTCTTATACACTTCAAGTTCTTAGTCTGATTATGATTCTGATTCAGGTTCTGAAGAAAAAGTTGATTTTCTTGATATATCTAATAGTAATCAGCATGATAAAATCAATGTTTGCAATTCTTGTTATGGTGATATTTACTCTTGTGAAAATGATGAATTTTATAAATTGCAATCTCAATTTCAAGATTTGAATATAAATACTATTATTTTTGATAATGTGATAGAACTATTGTAGGAGGTCACTAAGAATGATCTTCGAGAAAAAATTATTCATTTGGCTGCAAATAATACTAGTTCAAGTTCTTCAAAAAATTCTATTAAAAATAAAACAATGATTTTGAATTTGAATATGCTGTACCTTATTCATTATCTGAAATTAATAACAGACTTAATAAACAAACTACTCCTACAAGAGATTCTTCTTTTGATGATTTGAAAAATGAAATTGAAAATTTGAAAAATGAGATTAAATATCCTAAACAAAATCAAATGATTTGTGATCATAGACTTACTCAGATAGAAACAGTTAATAACAAAGGTAAAAACATTGTTGAAGAAAATACTCTTGCAAACCCTTTTAATCTTGATCCTAGACAAGGTATGTTTTTCGGAATGATCCAAATTGTTACTGCTCATAAATGGTATGTTAAATGTACCATATTGATTGATAATATTTTTTCAATAACTGATATTTCCCCATGATTGATAGTGAATCCGATGGTAGTTGTATTCAAGAATGTCTTGTACTTACTAAATATTTTGAAAAAAATAACTCATATGGTTAAATCTGCTTCTGGACATGCTTTAGATATAAAGTATAAATTGCCTAATAATCGCATGTGCCAAAATAAAGTTTCCGTTCCGCATTTCCTTTTCTTGGTTAAAAATCAGTTTTACCCTCCAATTATACTTGGAACCCCTTTTATAAATGCTATTTATCTTTTCACTAGCATAAATGCTAAAGGTTTTACTGCTACTTATGAAGACAGAGATATAAGTTATACTTTTATCACTAACACTATTTCTCGTGATATTAATGCTTTGATTAATATGAAACAAAGACATGTTGACTCTTTGCAACTAGAATTGTTTAGCATAAATATATTTGATACTTTGAAATCCACCAAAGTACAGGAAATAATAAAATTAATATTTGAACAAATTGCAGTTGATATTTGTGCCGATCAACCCAGTTCTTTTTGGAATCGAAAAAAGCATATTGTTATTCTTCCATATGAAATGATTTCTCTGAGAATGATATTCCTACTAAATCTCGTCCTTGTCAGATGAACCCCGAATTGATAGAATTCTGCAAAAAGCAAATTGATAATTTGTTATAAAAAGGTTTGATAAAATCTTCAAAATCACCTTAGTCTCGTATTGCATTTTATGTTAACAATGCTTCTGAAAGGGACGAGGTGTCCCTAGATTGGTTATCAATTATAAACCTTTAAATAAATATTTTAAATGGATTAGGTATCCTATTTCAAACAAAAGAGTTTTATTGTCTAGATTATATGATGCCAATATATTTTCAAAATTTGATTTAAAATTTTGATTTAAAATCTGGACATTGGCAGATCCAAATATTTAAAGAGCATGCTTATAGAACAACTTTTAATGTCCCATTTGGACAATATGAATGGAATGTTATGCCATTCGGTTTGACAAATGCTCCATCTGAATTTCAGAAAAACATGAAAGATATTTTCAACCATATTTGGATTTTATAATTGTTTCTATCAATGATATTTTGGTATTCTTCAAAACGTTTGAAATGCATATTAAGCATCTTGATATGTTCAAGAAAATTGTTATACAAAATGGTTTGTTCATTTCTAAATGAAAAATGTGTTTGTTCTAAACTGATGTTTGATTTCTAGGACATCATATTTGTCAAAGGAAAGCTACCCCGATTCAAATATCAATCGATTTTGCATCAAAATTTCCTGATGTTATCACTGATATGACTCAATTGGAAAGATTTTTAGGGAGTTTAAATTACATATCCCCTTTTTATAAAAAAAATATCTCGTGATTTGGTCACTTTATACGACAGGCTGAAAAAGGATCATAAATCACCTTGGACTGACAATCATACCACTCTAGTAAAGGATATTAAACTTCGTGTTCAATCTTTACCATGCTTAACTCTTGTAAACCCTGCTTGACAAAAAATTATTGAGACAAATGCGTCTAATATTGGTTATGGTGGGATATTAAAACAAATTAATCCCAACAACAAAAATGAATATTTGATCAGATTTCATTCTGGGAAATGGAGCGAGGCCCAGAAGAAATATGCTACGGTGGCTCTTGAAATGTTAACCATTGTTAAATGCGGCTTAAAATTTCTAGATGATTTATAAAAGTTTTAATAGAAATTGATGCTCAATCTGTTAAGTATATGTTTAACAAGAATTTTAAACATGATGCATCAAAATTAATATTATCTAGGTGGCAGGCCCAGTTAGCTCCTTTTGATTTTGAGATCCAATATAAAAAGGGAAGTGATAACTCTCTTCCAAATTTTTTATCTAGGAAATATTTAAA